TTTACTGAACCGCACAATAAAAGACGACAAGAGTATCTCGTCCGACGAACATTCAAGTCAACTCACGCCTGTGCGTAGCTTTCTGTGCTTTTCTAGAGATTTGGTTAAATTCCTCGAGCACGACGCCAGCTGCCAGCTGTTGTTTACTGTTGTACATCATAAAACCCGCGACGGAACCAAAAAGGACAACCGCGATACTTTTTATCTGCCTCGGGTTTTAGTAGGTGCGTACCAATGTTGCCTGTACTTGTTTGTTTTCTGCCAGTTTAGGCGGAATGAGCCACACGCTTGTTTCGAGCGGTTTAAATTTGAATAAATAATAACCAACACAAAAAAGAAAACAAGTTTTAAGTACTTTTTGAGATTTTTGAAGTGACTTTTACTATTAAACGACTGCATGCACTTGAATGTTCAATTCAAGAGTTTATGAAACTTGACTACCCCATGCTTGTCACCTTCCAACAGGGTGCTAACTCTCAATGGCTCGAGCCCAGTGGGTAGTTAGGTAAGCCTGTGGGGGTAGTTAGAGCCGTCAAAACGCACGATGACTAGGGGGGGTGCTCACTTTTTCTTAGAGTGTAGCGGTATCCGAATCAATCCGAAAAAGAGCAACGTAGGGCCGATTGCCTCTTTCGTGGCAACATGCCCGCCGGTCACCAGCGAAATGCACACCGTTCCTCTATTAGCGGCGAGATGTTTTAGTGGCGCCCTCCTACGGTTCCCCCTTGTGACGTCATTACCTTGCAAACATCAAGTTCGATGGTGTTTGTAAATAGCATGGTGGAAGCTTGAAATGATTGCGCTCTCAAAGGAACACTGCCAACACCGTCAAAATTAAAGTTCTTTCATTCCTCTTATTTCCGTCGATGATAAATCCTTTTCTGACGTCATAGTCAGCGTTCGGCCAATCGTGGAAGGCAGACCACAGCGACGCTTTCGGTCGCGCACGTCGCCAATATTTTCACGTTATACTACGTCAGACGCCACGCTGAACTCTGAAGTCGTTTTCGACCAGCCTTATATGACGGCTTCCGCGTCTGAAATCAACTCGCCGAGACAAACGACAACGAACAAAGCATCTGACAAGCTCCGGCCAATCCTCCGGCCCAGCTGGGGCCAGCCGCTGCATAGGCGCTGCCATCTTTCCTGTGACGTCACGTATTTGGTTTGGTCACGTGACGAGGGGTCAAATTTGCGTAAAATGGCAGCGGCCTTATGGGGCTCACTTCCGAGTGCAGACCGGAGCCCCGGTTTATTGCTCTAAGCCCCTCTACCTTGTTTGGTATTCTATACACTAGTCCCGTGGTGCTATCTGTGTATTTGGTGCGGCGCTTGGTTTTCAAGGATCTGTAGAATCACTCGGATCGTTGACCCTATGGCACAACCCCGACAACTAATTGGGTGGAGTGAAAACCAATGGTACTTTATATCGAGTGGCCACTTTCCTAAGGTCAGGCACGACGGTGTACATAAACGGAATTAAAACCGGCCTTGCCGTACTCCTCTTGCGGGTAACCCCCGGTATACCTTTAGATTTCTTTACCAGACTTTCTGCTACCTCAACCAACGTTCCCTGAGAGACACCCGCTCTCTCCAGCCGCCCCTACTTGCTTCTCGAAACTTTCTTATTCATTGTGCCTGCATAACTTCTTCGGAGCTGCCTCTAGACACAAAGAGGCAATGCTTCTTTTTACTGTTTAAAAAAAAAATGGTTTCGTCATTCTGACTAAGCAGGCTCTCACAGTAACCAGAGACCCGAAGATCGGGTCGGAGGTTTTCGAGTCATTTTGTAGTGGCTTATAATGTACGAATGAGGAGCCGAGAGAATGAATATTGCAGTTCCTGGACCTCAGGTTGTCTACACAAGGACCATATTTGCTGGATTGATGAACCACTTTCTGCATAATGTTAATTAGGGTTGTGTGGATATTTATGCAGCGGGTACTTCGTCAGCCCTTTCAAAGTTGCGACGAGGCACTCGCTGTAAATGAGCAATTTAGCCAGTGCAGTACAACCCCTGGCATAGCGTCTTAACGTGCCCCACGCAGCAGTGATACACAACCGCGCACCGATACACTATTCAGCCAGATCGAAACGGGCAGGAGTAGTGACTGAACCCAGGATCCCTAAAGCCCCTCCATGTTCAAAAAGTAGCGCAAAGTCCATCAATGGACGAGGCACGTGCAACGTGCAGCCCTTGGGAAAATCATGACGGCACAGCGCAGCACTGAGCTGAATTTCAGACGCCATGAATTTCCCAGAATTGGCGCGAGGCACGTGCCTCGCGCATTTCTAGAACAATGAATGGCGCCACTTTTCCCAGGATAGAGGGGCTTTAAGAATCCCTGGGTCCTGCAGCGCGAGCTTTCGCTGCACGTGCTCCGAGCTTTTAGCTAGTGTGCGCTAGCCCACTCGGCCACAGATCTCCATGCCACGTTCAGAGAAAAGCATACTTCTGTTTAACTCCGCCCATTCAAAAATAGCAAAGAACAACATTACCCCTATGTGTCTAGAGGGAGCCATCAAGAGAAGTCTTGCAGACATAGTGCCCAAGCAAGTCTTGAGAAGCAAGTAGCGTGGTTGGAGACTCTGGATTTTCCCCAGAGCACTATGGTTGAAGAGGCAGGAAGCCTGATAAAAATATTAAAGGGATACAAAAGCAACCCCGCGTCAGGGGTACGGCGAGGCCGGTTTTAATTCCGTATATGCACACCGTCGCGCATAATCTTAAGAAAGTGGCCGCTCGGTACGATGTACTTCTGGTTTTCACTGCACACAATAAGTTGTCGCGGTTGTGCCGTAGGATCAGCGATTTCAGTGATTCTACAGATTATAATGAAACCAGGCACCGCACCAAATACACAGAGTGCACCATGGGACTACTGTTTAATTACCCTTGTTATGCGACTCTTCTTATGTCAGCCACACTAGCAGGTGCTTGAATGATCGTTCGCGCGAGCATGCCGCGGCCACTCAAGCAACCCCGTCGTGACACCTTGCCACTCACTGAAGTCGTTTTCCATGAGCTCCGTCATTTAGCGACAGCAGGATTTAGTATAGGCACCCAAATAGGGTTTCTAGAGAGTTGCGTTGAGACTTTGTGTTTGTCCGTCCCTTCTCGTTTCAGTCTCGGTGTTTTTAGTCAAATGTTTAACCACCACAAGCTCGTTTGCTCCCTGACCTTTTGCTTACACGATCCCATCAAAATCAAAGCAAATGGTGATATGTGTTTTGATTACACGTCACTGTCTTTATCGGCAAATGAGCATTATTTTTTGCTACGAGGGTTACACCGCAAGTAGCCGTGGCTGTTTGTTTTATCGCGGATATATATATATCGCTAGATTTAAAAAAAATAAGTTAGCTGCAAGTGCGCCCTGTTCTGTCTATTTTCTTGTCCGTGTGTCTTTTGGCGCATAGATATCTGCTCGGCATAAAGATTTCGAATCTCACGAAACAAAGAATTTAGTAAGTAGATTTTTTTATGATTGCGAATGTTTACACGATTAAAATAAAAACTAATTGCGTTTAATGCTTGCGTTAGTTAGTAATATCAACCAGTGATGCAATAAATTCAGTACACCTAACAAATATAGCACTTTCCCTGTGCCAGGTGATGTCAGCTCGTTTTGTTTTTTTTTTTTTTTTAATTTTAGCTCATTCGCACAAGAGTTAAACTTCAGTCGAACGTTTTCACACATCGCGTTGAAATTTCAAAATGCATTCATTGGGCGCGTGCTGTCCACATCTAGCGAAGATTTGGCGCTGTATGTACTGTGGGCGCCATGTCTGACCCAAGTGAGCGGGGTGGATTATATTCTCCCAATAATTCGTGTCCCCATAAGGCCAGATGCAGCCGACGCTTCGAGCTAATAAGACCAATCGAGCAGTGACAAAAGCGCAAGTCACTCGACCTTTTCTTTTTATGATTAGCCCAGCGATGATGAAAAACATACAGAAGCATGACGACCTTCATAATGGCGTGATTTTGAAGCTGTCTGATTGGTTCTGTAGCAGCCGTGCCAGCTGTACCACTGGAGCGAGAGAAAATAAGCGGAGGCGCACGAGAACAGACAGCTGAAGTCTGCGCTCCGAGCACAGCTACTCCCCGACGCATCGGTTGACAACCTACCTGTTGTGTTGCTCGGACTACGTTCAACTCTAAAATCAGATGTGGGTTGTACCGTGGCAGAACTCGTGTACGGTTCTCCCCCTCGTCTACCCGCTGACATGGTCGAACCATCAACGGCACAAGGGGTAATGGATCCATCATCTTATGTCCAACGACTCCGAGAAGCAATGAGCTCCTTACGCCCAGTTCAAACACGAAAACCTAGTCCTCGGCAAGTCTTCATTCACCCTGCTCTCGTGCGCCTCGGCTTCTTTTATGTGTGGTTATGTGGGTACCAGTCAGGTGGCACTCAACATATTTTATATACAATATTTACAAGAAAACCGTAACAGTAGAAAACATCGTCCGATCTAGCCGCCGGTCCGCTCGGTCGCCGAATCGCAAAGCTCGTGTCTCGTGGTCTGTTCTCGTGCGCCTCGGCTTCTTTTCTCTCGCTCCAGTGGTACAGCTGGCACGGCTGCTACAGTTCCATCAGCTCGCAGCGTCGGCAACGTCTGGACTTAAAGTTAAACTAAGTTGAGTAGTGGCTACCTTGTCTTTTCTGCGGCTGCCGAAAATCTACCGGTTCTTTACAACCCGGCGTTGGAGAAAGTTGAGGGGGAATACAGCAAAGCTTGAGCTGGTATTGTCGACTAACAACCACGAATGCCTTGCAAAAGAAAAGAAAACACGTCCAGAAAGAGAATGTCGTCTGCTCCGGTAGAGTTTTATTTTATTTTTTTCACGCCTTCCCCCTTCTGCGTGGAGAGACGCGTTTTGGTGGGCATGTTCGCACTATAAAGAACATTGCTGCGGACAGTTTTAACGCTCGTTCCTATATAAAACTCCCGATTCAAGGCGCAGTGAGGCATTGATTAAATATAACAACCTGCTTTGTCTTGAGAAGATGGCTGATGCCGGAGTCGCGTCCTTGGCAGGAGTTTGAGATGATCACCAAGTCTTTCACCGGCGTCTTGGACAGTGCAGATACCAGGGCTTCCGGACTCCCACACGGCCCGAAACCTGAAGGTCAAGCAGGCAAGTACGCCGTGAGCAAGAGCCTAATCCAGGTAGTGCCTCGTTCGCCCAAAAGTTTAGGAAGAAATTTAAACTGCTCTAACATTGCTAATACATCTTAAGAAAAAAAATATATGCCGGCACTGGAGGAATCTCTCTTCGTCGACTGCCAGTTTTCTCACATTGATTATACAAGAGGCGGAGAAGTTAAACCCGCCCCCAGAGGGTTCTGACCGTCCGACACAAAATTCTCGATTTTCAGACCCCGGAAGACCTAGTGTATCAACCGCCAAAAGGAATGCGCGACAAGGCAAGCAGAGAAAACGAGGGCGTTCGTCTCTACCTGCCCTCCATTCGGGCATTTGGAAGAGAACCACGCCCCAGCGGTAGAGGCGCTCCCTCTTAGGGAAGACCTCCCAGCCCCGACGCCACTCATGAACTTCTAGGGGTCTGGAAAGGCGCCTAGAAACAAATGACGACAAAGGAAAGGGATTCCCCCAGTTCCGCTCTTCAGGAGTGGTTCGGGCCGCGTAAGCCTCTTCGACAGCACGAGCCGTTAGCTCCTCACGCACCTCCAGCTTCGGTAGGCTTGGTCGTAATTCTTCGTAGCAAGCCGCCGCCGCTTGGTAAGAGAGGGTGTTGTCTCCGCGCTCGAGTACAGGTTACCCGGCGCGCGAGGAACAAAAACCCGCCGCGAAGGCCTTATAAAATGCCAGAGACCACACAGGGTGCTCTCAGTCGCCTAGTATCGCCCAAAATCTGCGAAACGATAGCAGGCGACTCGTCGTGTCGATGCAGGGCATGCCTATGCCGCCAAAATTGCGTGGAAAGGCGAAGCAGCCGCCTTGTCACAAACTCGGTACTCCTACAAGAGTCGAACTGAAATGAAGAGACGGAAAAGATACGTGAGCAACGTATGAAGGTTGACCACAAGACACGGCCCTCACCAGGTACGCGTTGTTGTAAAGGAACGAAGTAAATTTCCCGCCGCAGTATAATCTGACGTTCCAATGTGAAGGCCAGACCCCTCACGTACGAGAGACTACTTCAGGACAGGCGAGCCGCACGCCGAGGACGGAGGACTCGGCCGCGACTTTCACGCCTGCCGGTGGGACTGGAGGGAAGCCTGCAAACTCCAGGGCCTGGCTTTTGGAAGTGTTTAAATGCGCCCTGGAGAGAGCACTGTTCTCTGAAAAAAATACAGCAGGACGCTGAAGCTTCGTTTCTAAGAGTGGAACGCTATAACTATGCATGTCAACTCCCGCTCGTTAAGGAATGTCTTCTGCAGGAATGTCTGCATGGCATTCGACTTCTGGCTTTCAATGAGTGCGGACGTGGGATGATAGGCTCCGCCGGAATAGCAATAGCGGCCCAGTCGGACCGCGGTGACACAAACAACTCTGCGTTAAGAAAGGTGAAAAACGCAGGCGAGCTGGTGAATGGAATCCATAGTCACCCTGAGACGTAGAAACAGCAAAAAAAAAAAAAAACTGACAAAACAACGAAGTCTTTTCTTCGTTTTCCGTCCGTTTTTTTTTTTTTTTTTTTTTTTTTTTTACGTTTTAGGGAAACTATGTATGACTCTCCGTCTTCGGAGTATTAGATGATTTTTCCGCCTCTTCCAACCGAACCTACTGTGTTCAACATTGTGTTTCTTTAAGCCGACGGCCGGGGACGCCCGTATACGTGTGAAAAGCTTCTGTGACACCCTCAGTCATCTGGCACTGTTCCCCGAGGTTCTTACCTTGGGGGCGTACCAGATGGATCACGTCTGGGCTGTGACCTTTGGCACCATGACAGAACAGCACACGACAAAACAGCACGCGACAAAACAGCACGGTCAAAACAGCACGCGTCAATAAAGCACAGCGTCCAAACAGCACGACGGCAAAACAGCACGCATCAAAATATCACGCGACAAAACAGCACAGCGTCAAAACGGCACAGCGACAGAAGAGCACGTGCCAAAACAGCACGGCATCAAGACAGCACAGCGTCAGAACAGCACAGCGTCAAAATAGGACAGTCACAATAAAGCTAGGGTTTGACGTTTTCGGTTTTAATTATTTTGAAATTCGGCGTACATTTTTCGGTTTTCATATCAAGCAGAAGTTTTCGGTTTATTGCTGAGTATATTTGTAGACTCATAAACTTTTCAGTTATTTTCGGTTTATTGACGAAAACCAGTATACTGACGAAAATGCAATATTTAAAGGCGTTTGTTTAAAATGAATAGTGAGTAAACCAGGTAGTGTATTTCTTATTTGTTGCTGTCTGTGGCACCCGACGCGACCTGTTCTGCAAAACGCACTGGGGCCCTACCGTGATCTGACATTATCGTAGTGGACTCGTATTTGTACACAAGACGAACATGAGCTTCAGTAGCACTTCGGTCGGAGAGGCAAATATCAAAATCCAAAAATTTGCAAGCATTCTACTTAGTGCATCTTTCCCCCATTTTTACGACTGCGAGAGGTGGTTCATTCGCGCAGTCTAAGAAATGACAATAAATCAATCGTATTTATGCCCTCCTCTAGTATACGGAAGCTATGGGTGTTAAAAAATGTGCGGCATTTATGGATGCCCTTTGATTTTATTGTTCAGTTTACGATTAAACTCTCTTCTTTGAACAAAGAATTTGACACACAAATCCATATCAGGTGAAAAACCCACATTCCGTCCTGAAGACCATTGCGTCGGTTCAACTTTTGTTCAAAGTTGAACCAATCTCAGAGACAGGCTAAAAACTGCGGAAGGAAGTGGTCATACGGTCAGTAATGAAGCACATTCCCCCACCCACCCCTGCAAGCACCCTCGAAAATACTTACCTTTTTCAGTTAAAACCGAATTTTTAAAAAAAGATTTCGTCGTACTTTTACTGGTTTTAGCGGTTTAAGCCGAAACCGCTGAACACCAAATATAGCGATGGAGTTAAAAAATGCATGTCTTAAAGTAGGCGCTGTAAAAGAATGGAGGGTCTAGGCCAATTCCTCGAAGGGCATCTCGTCGACGGCCAATTTGTCGAATCCGTTCTCATGGGAGTAAGTTGGGAGTGGGGAGTATACTCGATGCGCACATGAAGGCTCCCTGGGCAGTACCGAAGTCCCCGCTGTTGCGTATTCCGGCTATTTCTCGCACAGTTCTGGCTAACATTGACGCTCAAGTTTGCTGGTGATGTCGTCTACAATAAATGAATCAATCGCACGACAATATGCTGTTGTTAGTTGTTAAAAATAAAACAGAAATTGTGTGCCGCAACGGTATGATTAGCCCATGCTGTACAGCAACAGTATGGGCATATTGAGGCTGTGGCATGTTTCTACTTCACCGGTTTCCACTCAATCGAAGCCTTCGTCGGAAATAATTTGTGAATTTAACTCGAAAGAACTTCTCGCCTGCAAGCTGCAGCCTCGTGTTTAAGGCGAATGAACCCCGCAGAATCGTTGCCTATGGTACACCTTGAATTCGCTCGACATTAAAGTTACCTTATCTTCCCGGTTCTATCAAGGTATCTGTAATCGGCGCATCTCCCGCTTGTTTTATGAGTGCGTTCTACGCTTAGGTGGTAATTACAAAACGACGAGTACTACGAAACTTTACCGGACCGCCGCAAACCAGACGGTTCATAGCATGAACTTACGGATTTCTTTTTCTCAATAACTTTTCATCTTTCGTGATTCTAAAAGAAAAAAAAAAAAAGACCAGACAATGCGCCCAACATCGACGCGAAGATATCACCTCTAACTACAGAATCTCTTCAGAGATCAGCGTAGTTAAGTAGTAGTAACTACTGCTAACTTCGTTTGTTTTAGCAATAACACAGCAGCACCAGTCGGGAGACTTAACAATGAAATAGGCAATAAATTCCTTTATAACCTAGCGACAATAAATGAAAGGATTAAGGAGGTTCGAAAATATTTACGCCGAGAGAGGTGAAGAGTGCGCTCGAAGTTGCTACATGCGTGCTGTTTTGTCGTTGTGCTGTTTTGACGCCGCGCTGTTTTGGCACGTGCTCTTCTGTCGCTGTGCCGTTTTGACACTGTGCTGTCTTGTCGCGTGCTATTTTGTCGCCGTGCTGTTTTGTCGCCGTGCTGTTTGGATGCTGGGCTGTTTTGACGCGTGCTGTTTTGACCGTGCTGTTTTATCGCGTGCTGTTTTTTCGTGTGCTGTTCTGTCGCGTTCCCGTGACCTTTAGGTCACCGAGGGTAAGCGGAAGATATTCCCTTTGGGCGACCTCGTCGTCAAGGGACGGCGATGCGTCGTCATGGACCCGGTGAACAGGGACGCCTGGGTCAAGATTCATTGACTGTTTCATTACGCTCCTGGCGACGAGGTGAGAGGGGCACTTGCACGTATGGCCAGGTGATCGACGTAAGAACTGAGAAGTAGCGCGTTAAAGGTGTCATGGGCTGCTGGTTGATGACAGGCACGGCTGTTATCCGGCTTAATCTAGGGCCTTCCACACTAGCTGGGAAGACCTTGGAGAACCTTCCTCAATAGCTGGGAAGAGCCGGAGAGCCGGCTCTCGTCTTGGCGACGGGCAGACCCCCGCTTTGCCTGCGCTGCCAGCAGACCGGTCACATCCGCCGTGATTGCCCTGTGCCGAAGTGAGCACCCTCCTATTGGTTCCGCCATGACGCGGATCACTGCATCAAGACGTACGAGACGGCCACATGTTCGGATCAAGAAGCCTCCAACGCCGAGCATGTTATGGACAAAGCGAACGCGCAGGAAGCAATGGGAGTAGCAGCCCCCCCACCGAATCACCGGAGAGCAAGGGCACGTAGGTCAACATAGTAGCGTCTGAGCACCCGCTGAAGGTGGACTCCGCTTTATCGGTTGGCGCATCCACAGGAAACCGGGAAAAGGCGCCGACCAATAAAGACAAGACGGCGACAAGAAATGAACTCTCGACGACGAGGATTGAAGGTCCTTAGTTAAAGGGGCACTGACACATCAAAATCATATTTTTTTTTTATTATCCGAAACGATTGAAAACGATGCCG